GAAGTCCAAGATGATGGTGCCAGCATATCTGATGACTGGAGAGAGCCTGTTCTTAATTTATGTCACCTTCTATGTGTTTTCACACAGTGGAATGGGTGAGCACTCTGTCCTCATATAGCGAAAGGGTCAAGGGAGCACACTGAAACCTGTTTTTAAGGGCACTAATCCCATTTGTGAGAGTAAAGCCCTCATGAGTAATCACTTCCCAAATGTCCCAACTCTTAATACTCTTAAATTGGGTATTAAATTTCATCACATATATTCTTAGAAGATCCAACATTCAGAAAATAGCACTTGTTAAATGGAGATGTCATCATGTATAATTGCAGGGGTGGTTGTTGGGATTGTCTGAGGTAATATCTACAGAAATGTTTATCATGTATAATGTGCTTCAAACTTGGTTTCTGTTTCCTGTCTCTGCTCCCTTTCATGTCATATATTCAGGTACACCGTTATAAGCTAAGGCTATTGAACTTGGTTCTAGTGTAGTTTTATAATCAGACCTTAATGAGTTGCATGTGCTTTCTTTCGCTTAAATTAGATGTCCTGAGGGTGTAGTCATTTTCCTATTTATTGTTTCTTTGCTTATTGAAAATTATTGGCTTATGATTTACAGGCTTCTAAGATATATTCTCTGATAAAATGTGTACAAAAATTTTTTAACCTCTGCACCAGGGTGACAAATTAAGACATCTCTGTGGAGATATTACGTCTATTGTCACAATCCCTATTAGCTACTGGATTTTGATTAATTGTGTTTCTTGCTGGAAAACATTCTGAAAGAAGAGAATATGTTCTGCAAATCAGCTATATAAATTTTAGAATGACAATTTTAATAACTCTATTTTGGCTACAGACTTCTTTTCTGCACTTCTGCATCGACATGTTGTTTTACTTGAAAATATTGTTAATTACATGGATTTAGAAAGAAACAAAATTATGTTTAGTGTGCTGTAAGATAATGATGAATGACAACTAACATGGTTATTCAATATGAATTTCCTCTTCACTCTGCTGGGTTAATCCCAAGTTCTTACCACGGTTTCCATCCACAAAAAGAGAACAGGAAATTCTAGTAGTATCTGAGAAGCTGAAAACATCTATTTTGATTGGATTTAAATCATTACATAATAGCTCTGAATTTTGTTTCTTAAAGTTATTCTGGCAATATTTTTCCAGAATATTTTATTGGTTGTCATAAGTAGATAATTTCTTTCTTTTAGGAAGCAAGTGTTTTGTAAAACAAAATTTCTTAGACAGTTTTTTCTCATTTTTTTTTTACTTTTAGTATTATTTTCTTTCAAAATGTTTTTCTAATAAAACCCTATGAAATTCTTATGAAGAAAAAAATTTTCTAATAAATGAGATTGGGGGAAATTCAAAACATGAGGCTTTTGATGTAAAAGAATAATTCAGAGTACTATATTAAACCCTTTAAACTGATTAATAAAGGATATAAAGCAGGATTCAATTTTAATGCCTAACAATAAGAATGATTGATTATACTTGCATTAGAGTGTTATCGTGTGTAAGTGTACTATTTCACATGTAAAATAACTATACATGCATTTTTATAGATATTAACAATTATAAAGTTCAGTCAAATACTCATAAACCAACAATGAATCTCTCATTAGTTTTCTTGAAATCATCAAAAAGTGATTTTATGTGGCTGTTCTTTGTTATAATACCTTTGGCTCTATTGAGAACAAGCATAGAAAACACCTACAGGTGGAATATTATTTATTTTGTTAATTAAATGAAACACTTAACTACATCTTTTGCCTGATTCTTCACTATATAATCTTCCTCATAAAGAAATATTTTATAGCTCAAGTTGAGGAAAAGGTTTCTTCTTTCTGGTGAGTAGCTGGGCTTCCCTTCATTTGGTGTGGAAAGCTAGGTAGGATCCTGATTTTATAATTATGTTAAGTTCAGAAAAAAGTTATGTATTCTACTTTGTTGACTTTGTTGGGGGATACTACTATGTTTTATGACAGTATTTTTCTTGAACTGTTATTTCAAAAATGTCTGCACAGCAAAACACCGTGGAAAAGAGTTGTGTCTTTCTCTTGGGCAGAGGACAGATTTCTATTTCCCTGCCAAAATAATAAAGATAATGTCTTTCTGCAAGGCAAAAGTTGAACACAAGTTTTCCAGCATCCTCTTTGTGAGATTTGGGGATTTCCAAGTTTGAGTCTCCTCACCAGCAACATAGACCCTCTATTTGGGAGGATCCTTTGAGTCCCCTAGTCATCATCTTCATGGAACTTTGAGGACATGGAGAAATGACGGAACCATGCAGTTCTTCTTGTCTGGAGTAATAAAGTTTTTTGACTCAGCAGTCTAGTATACACTATCAGCATTTACGAAACTGTGGCAGGCTAGCTAGTTAGCTTACAAGCAAATAAATCTCACGGTTTTTACAGGATTTTGTGTGTGTGTGTGACAAACTTCCTTCTCCATTATCTCTTGAATATCTTTTGGTCTTGAAAGTATTTTTCTTAAAAAAATTTACATCTTTCTAAAGTAAATCTCTGTTGACAGTAGCTCATTTATTAATAAGTGATCTCAATGTCAGCTGTAGAACGATATCCAAATATCTTTCTCGGACCTTGTGCAAATCCCATGACTTATTAGCTCAGGAACTTCAAATCCCTGTTCCTTAGAGATGGAGGAGGCAGGGAATGCCTATTCTCTTCTCTTAACCCTAAAGACGTAATTTGATATTTTAAGCTAGAAGAGCAATATGATGTAATCATTAAATGAAAAGATTCAGAAGCAAAAAATCCTATTAATAGGTTCAAATTCCAGCTTTGAAACCTGTTTTATTCTGGGAAAACAACTCACTTCACTGTACATCAACTTTCTCATCAGTAATTAAATGTTAATAAATCTCTCCGTTCTCTGTGTATAATGGCCATGTCTTTGTGTTATTATTAGGATTTTATAAATTGGCTCATAAAGTTCTCTTGTAAAACAATACTTGACACATGGAAATGATTTAAAACACCATCAGTTTTCAGTAATTTATTATCATAGGATTTGGGTCAAAGAAAAATAATCTGAAAGTAAAACTGGAATGCTTTAGGGAAGCATTTTCCAAAAGATCTTTCTGTAGTTATTTCTGTGTTAATATTTGAGCTGTCCTGTTACTAGTAGCCATTAGCTGCTGGCTTACTGCTTATCAGGAACTGGCTTTTTAATAGTACACGCTATTAACCAACTCAAATCTAAATAATATTTATCTAATAATACTGAATCCAGCAGCATTGTGTGGATACTATGCACACATTGTATACATTCTTTTGTATTACAGTGTATTTCCAATATGTATTTTTAAATATGAACAATAAATAAAGCAACTCTTTGAACCAAATGTGATAAGATGTTAAAATCTGATAAACTGAGTTGAAGATTTAGGGGTTTGTTGTGTTATTTTCTATACTCTTGTAATTTGTAACTTTTTAGAGAAAAAAGTGAGTGTAGCTTGTCAAAGTTATAACACTCATATGTTACAAAAGTCATATACTAGTGAAAATAAAAATTCTGTCTTCCCCTTAGAGTAATCCTTGAGGTAAAAGAGTTAACGTACAGCTAGATATAAGTTATACTATTATTTGGTAGAACACACTAATGAGTCTTTGAAATGTGAAGAAAGACATTAAATTGCTTTTTGGGAACCCGAGATTTCTGCTACAGAGCAGAGATTGTTGTTGATAATAACAGTGTACTTTCCATTATTGTTTTTAAGGACTGCTAGGGGAAGCAGAAAGAGGGGCAACAAAAGATGGGGGACAGGGGCAAATAAATTGGGAGGAGGTGACACCCAGAGACAATTGGAGTCAATTGTTAGAAATATTAATGTTTCATATTTACTTTTAAATTAAATGCTCTATTGAGCAGTCACATATAACGACACATTGCTGTTATCTTTGGCCTTGTGTAAAAATTCACCCTGTCTATACCACTTGAACCTGGGGATGGCTGAGAGGCAATAGAGAAATAGGACTGAACCCTCACTTTACTCAGAATTCTTAGACAAAAGTGTAGCTCAAGGATTCTCTTGAAACCAGTAATTTAAAGGCACCTATTAATCAAGCTGTCTAATTATCGAGCACAGCATCTGCTTAAAGGTACAATCAAGATCCAAGAACACATCTAATTCTCAGGTCACCATCTTTGATTTTTTTCACCACATAACATTGGGTATTCTTTTATTCCTGATTTTATTTAGATATTATTGACAAATATATGTATATTTAAGGCAGTGCTTTTTGATATTTTGACATATATATACTTTGTGAAATAATGACTAAAATAAAAATAATTGGCATATCTATCACCTTACATAATTCCCATTTTCTCTTGGTTATTTTGTTGTGAGAACACTTCAAGTCTACCTCGTCAAATTTCAGAGAAATGATACTTTTTTTAAAATTGTACTTTAGGTTCCTGCAGATCATGCAGGATTGTTGCATAGGTACACACATGGCAATGTGGTTTTGCTGCCTCCATCCCCCCGTCACCCACATCTAGCATTTCTCCCCATATGATCCCTCCCTGACCTCCCACACCTCCCGTGCTGTCCCTCCCTTTTCCCCCACCAACAGACCCCAGTGTGTGATGCTCCCCTCCCTGTGTCCATGTGTTCTGATTGTTCAACAACCACCTATGAGTAAGAACATGCGGTGTTTGATTTTCTGTTCTTGTGTCAGTTTGCTGAGAATGATGGTTTCCAGATTTATCCATGTCCCTACAAACGACACGAACTCATTGTTTCTTATGACTGTATAGCATTCCATGGTGTATAGGTGCCACATTTTCCTTGTCCAGTCTATCATCGATGGGCATTTGGGTTGGTTCCAGGTCTTGGCTATTGTAAACAGTGCCGAAATGAGCATACGTGTGCATGTGTCCTTATAATAGAATGATTTATAATCTTTTGGGTATATACCCAGTAATGAGATTGCTCATTCAAATGGAATTTCTATTTCTAGGTCCTTGAGGAAGCGCCACACTCTCTTCCACAGTGGTTGAACTAGTTTACCCTCCCACCAGCTACATTTCCGGTAAGTATTGTCAGGCTGCTGTGCATTAAAAGCCCAGAAGGTATTCATTTTGTGTTATTGATGCCTTGTACCTCTGATCAACATCTCTCCATTTCTTACCCTTTAATTTCACAAATGCTGTTTTACTCTCAGCTTTTATGTGTTTGACTATTTTACATTCCATATAAGTTAGATCATGCAGTGTTTGTCTCTCCGTGTCTGGTTTATTTTAGTCAGCTCGTGCTCCAAAAAAAAGCACATGCCAAGAGTTCCTTCTTTTTTAACACTGAGAAATGCCCCATTATTTATCTGCATATATACAACAAGTTTTCTTTATTAGTCTGCTGATGGTCATTCAGGTTGTTTCCACATCTCGGCTAATGCAAATAATGCAGCAATGAACATGGGAGTGCAGACATCTCTTCAACATACTTATTTCATTTTCTTTGGATTACAGACAAATTGGGGCTTCTGGGTCATATGGTAGCTCTGTTTTGATTGTATGAGGACCCTCCATATTGTTGTTTTTTTTTTTAAATAAGGGCTATGTCAATTTACATTTCTAAGAACAGTATACAGGGTTACCTTTTCTGCATGCCCTCACCAACATTTATTAACTTTTGTCTTTTTGATCAGAGGTATTCTAACAGGTGTGAGGTGGTATTTCATCGTGGTTTTGATTTGCATTTCTCTGATGCTTAATGTTGTTGAGAACTTTTTATAACTTACATGGGAAAATGTCTATTCAGGGAATTTGCCTATTGTTCCAATTGAGTTTTTAGTTTCTTTTTATAAAAGTATATAGATATTTCATAAATTTTTATATTAACCTCTTATCAGACATATAATTTGAAAGTAGTTTCTCCAGTTCCATAGAATGTCTCCTCACTGTGTTGAATGTTTCTTTTACTGTGTAGAATTATTATATGTTGATGTAATACCACTCTCTATTTTGGTTTTTGTTATCTGTGGCTTTCGGATTATATTTTTAAAAAATCATTACCCAGGTCAATGGCATGCATGTTTTTCCTATGTCTTCTTGAGTAGTTTTATGTTTCAGGTCATATATTTAGTTCTTTAGTCCATTTTGAGTTGATTTTTGGATATGGTGTACAATAATGATCTACTTTCATTCATCTTCACGTAAATATCCAGTTTTCACAGTACTATTTATTGAGGAGACTACCTTTTCCCCATTGCGTGTTTTTAAAACCCTTGTTGAAGATCAGTTATCCATAAATACATTAATTTATTTCTGGGTTCTCTATTCTGTTCCATTGGTCTATATGTCTGTTTCTATTTTAGTACCATACTGTTTTGATTATTTGCCCTTTGTAGTATATTTACACAAAGGGAAGTGTAATGCCTTCAGCTGTATTCCTCTTGCTCAGGATGCTTTCAGCTAGATACCTTTGTGGTTACATATAAATATTAGCGTTTTTTTTTTTTCCAATTTCTGTAAATAATTCAGTGGGATTTTGATAAGATTGCATGGAGTTTGTAGATCACTTTAGATAGTATGAACATTTTAACAATATGAACTTTTCCAATCCGTTATGTAGGACTATATTTCCATTTGTCTTTGCCTTTTATATTTTTCTTCAGCAATAATTCATAATTTTCAGTTTTCAAGTCTTTTCCTTTCTTCATTAACTTTAGCCTAAGACAGTTACAGTATTACAGTCCTCCTTTCTGCAGCTGGTCACGTGCTCATAGCTGGTATTGATGACTACCTTCTTCTACTACCCATTCTGTATTACCTTTGCCTTCAGCAGGCACCTCACAACAGATCATGAATTTCTTTCCTGTTGGAGTGACCCAAACCTTCAATCCTGAGGGGTCTGGGCTATTTGTAGTCCTGCCTGGGTTGGGCTGCTGTAGTTTCCCATTGACCTTAATCACAGAGCATGGTAATAATAAGGGACATCCTAATGGATCTCCTGTATCCCATGAGTATTCTTCCTTGCCTCTGTTGTGAAGTAGCAGACTGATTTCTTCTTAATAGTCTGGGTCAATTCCCCTAGCCAACACTGTAACTTTCTCCCTTTAAGCCTGTTGACTTAAAGGTAGGAGGAGACCAAAGTGTCCAGGTGGCAATCTTAACCTCCAGTTTAATAAAATCAGTTGTGCCTCCTGGTAGCAACATTCCATCCTCTGGAACTAAGACCTCTAGCTAGCAGAATGTAATATTGTGGGAAGAGAAACTAAAAATTTTGGTAGTGGATAGCTAGGAGTAATGGTGAGGGGTGCCACTTCCACTTCTACACCTTGATTCCTGGACCTGTGAATCTTAGTTATGGGAGAAATAGTACTATATATTGAACACTGATTCAGAACATACTCAGGCTTCTGAATAACTTTTCCCCAGCCCTGCAAAGTATTGCCACCTAGTTGGCATTGTCATTATGACTTCAAAAGGCCATTTTACTGTTATATCAATCCAGTTGCTTCAGGATGAAGGGGAACATGGTAAGACCAGTGAATTCCATGAGCATGAGCCCACTGCCACACTTCTTTAGCTGTAAAGTGAGTGACTTGGTCAGAGGCAGTGCTGTGTGGAATGCCATCATGGTGGATAAACCGTAAGTCCATGAATGGTAGTCATGGCAGAAGCGTTGCATGCCAGATAGGTAAACCCATATCTGAGTAGGTTTCTATTCCAATGAGGACAAACCTCTTCCCTTTTCATGATTGAAGAGGTTCTATGTAATTAACCTGTCACCAGGTAGCTGGCTGATCACCCTGAGGAATGGTGCCATTTTGAGGGCTCAGTGTTGGTCTCTGCTGCTGGCAAATTGGATAGTCAGCAGTGGCTATAGCCAGGTCAGCCTTGGTAAGTGGGAGCCCATGTGGCTGAGCCCATGCATAACATTCATCCTTGCCACGATGGCCACTTTGTTCATGGGCCCATTGGGTGATGAGAGGGGTGCCTGAGGAAAGAAGCTGAGTAGTGTCCACAGACAGGGCATCCTATCCACTTGATTAAAATCTTTCTCTGCGGTCGCTGTTGGTGAGCACTCACCTGGGATATAAATATTCTCACAGTTTTTGACCACTCAGGAAGGTCCACCCACACACCTCTTCACCTAAATTTTTTGTCATCAATTTTCCAATCATGCTTCTTCCAAGTCCCTGACTGTCTAGCCCAACCATTGGCTACAGCCCATGAATCAGTATATAATCACAAATCTGGCCATTTCTCCTTCCATGCAAGGGGCACAATCAGGTGCACTGCTTGAAGTGCTACCAATTGGGAAGATTTCCCTTCACCACTGTCCTTCAGGGATGGCCTAGAAAGGGCTGGAGTGCTGCAGCTGTCCACGTTCATATGGTGCCTGCATATCATGCTGAACTGTCTGTGAACCAGGCCCTAATCTTCTCTTCTCTTTGTCAACTGATCACAGGGAACTCCTGAAGAGGCTATCAGTGCAGGCTGGGGGAGAGAGGGCAGGGTGGCAGAAGTGGAGACCAAGGGCATTTAAGCCACCACTTCATGTAACTGACTTGTGCCTTCAGGATCTGCTTGATCCGGATCACTTCTATAGCGCTTCCATTTGATGATGGAATGCTGCTGTGCATGACCTACTTTATGGCTAGATGGGTCAGAAAGCACCCAGTTCATGATAGGTGGTTCAGGTCACATGGTGACTTGATGACCCAATGTTAAATGTTCTGTTTCCACCAAAGCCCAGTTACAGGCCAAGAGCTGTCTCTCAAAAAAACAGCAGTCATCTGCAGAAGATGGCAGGGCCTTGCTTTAAAACCTCTGCTGTGATTAACACTTGGGAGCCCGTCAAAGGCTCCAAACAGCATCCCTATCTGCCACTGACAACCTCAAGCAAGCACCATTGAATCTGCTGGGTCATATGGCCCACGCTGCAGAGCCGTTTGCACAGCAGCCTAGACCTGTTGCTGAGCCTTCCCCTGTTCTGGACCTCACTCAAAACAGACAGCATTTCGGGTCACTGGATAAATGGGCTGAAGTAACACAATCAAATAAGGAACGTGTTGCTTCCAAAACCCAAATAGGCCCACTGGGCATTGTGCCTTTTTCTTGGTTGTAGGAGAGCTCAAATGCAGCAACTTATCCTTCACCTTAGAAAGAATATCTCCACAGGCCCCCACCACTGGACCCCTAGAGATTTTACTGAGGTAGAAGGTCCCTGAATTGTAATCGGATTTATTTCCCATCCTGTGGCACACAAATGTCTTCCCAGTAAATCCAGTGTGTTTGCTTCTTCTTACTCACTGGATCCAATAAGCATAATATCATCAATGTAATGGACCAGTGCAACGTCTTGTGGAAGCAAAAAGTGATCAGGGTCTCTCCGAATAAGATTATGACACCAAGCCGGAGAGTTAATATGCCCCTGAGATAGGAAAGTAGACATATATTGCTGGAATATATGTGTCTGCTTTCTGGTTAAAAGCAAATTGCTTCTGGTGGGCCTTATGGACAGGAATGGAGAAAAAGGCATTTGCCTGGTATGACCGCACACCAGGTACCAGGAGCTGTGTTAATTTACTCAAGCACTGAGACCACATCTGGTACAGCAACTGCAATTAGAGTCAGCTCTTGGTTAAGCTTATGATAATCCACTGCCATTCTCCAAGATCCATCTGTCTACTGCACAGGCCAAATGGAAAAGTTGAATGGGGATGTGGTGGTAATCACAACCCCTGAGTCTCCCAAGTCCTTGATGGTGCATTAATCTTTGCAATTCTTCCAGTGATGCAATATTGTCTTTTATTTGCTATTTTTCTCAGTAGAAGCAGCTCTAATGGCTCCCATTTGGCTTTTCCCACCACTGTAGCCCTTACCCTACCAGTCAGGGAACCAATGTCAGGGTTCTGCCAACTACTAAGTATATCTGTGCCAACTATGCCTTCTGACATTGGGGAATTGACCCCAGGGTGAGCCCAGGGACCCACCAGATCCAATGTAAGTCAGACCTGAGCTATAACTCCATTAATTACCTGACCTCCCTAAGCCCTTACTTTAACTGGAGGACAACAATGAC